ACCTATATATCCAATAACAAAACACATACATTACAGAGAAAAGAAGAGAAGAGAAAGAAAGGCAAGAAATTAAACACATACCATATACAATAAATGAAACAATATACAACAAGCAATATAACAAAAATCACTAACAACTGAATTTAACCAGAAACCGAATACCGACCGTCCCAATGTTAGAGAGTGTAAAAGTGCCGCCGGTGATATCTTGCGTCTTCAGGCCTCCCCGTGACCCAAGTTCCTGCAGTCGGTTTATCTCTGCTGCAACTTCCAGCAGAGTGAGCCCCTGTACACCCTTTATGTTTGGTACGACTAGGCCATCGCTTGTGTCCATGGCCAATCCAATGTTGTGGCTAGCCTGTGGGCAAAGAGATTTTCCATTGTATTCCAAAGAGACAAACAAACATAACTTGAGGAGAGAATGGAATTCCATTTAATGTCAGATATGTAGTTTGACAGGTGTTTGGGTGGACAGGCAGGTGAGTACATAGATAGGTGTGTATGTATGTGTATGTTTGTGAGTGTATGTGCATTTGCATATGAGTAAATTAAAGTGGCCTAAATATTTGAGTCTGTGAATAAATGCATGTCTGGGTACACTCATTTGTGCATATAATTTTACAATCCTATGAGTTAGTGTAACAACTCTTGTACAAAACTCCCCTTCACTTTCTTGGCCAGTGCAGGAGCTTACCTTATAGGTAATATTTTCACACTTTTCATCTACAGAGGCATTGAGCACCGGGAAGTGGGACAGGGCCATAGAAGCTGCTTTTATGAAAACAGGCATGTATGAAAACCGAACACCGTGGACTTCAGCCATGGCTTTCAGCTCTTTACGCAGGCCAACTAAGGCGGTCATGTCGATCTCGTCACAATAGCCAAAATGAGGTATTTTCTGAAAATTACAAAAACAGTTACATATTTCATAAATACACAAAATTTCTATAAATATTAAAAGAGACCTATCTCAAAGTCTGAGAAAACAGAAAACTGAGAAAGAATTAAGAGTGAGATGTGGTCAGAGTTATCATAGCAAATTATCTGATGGAATTAAAGATAGAAAATGGGAACCAGAAAGGGGAGAGAGCAATAAAGCCAGATAAAGAGAGTGAAAGAGAAAGAAAGAAAATGAAAGATACAGACCAGAAAAAACAAAACAAAAAAAAAACAAAGAGAAAATAGAGTGAAAGAGAAAAAGAAAAAACAAACAAACACAAAAGCAGAGACAGGGAGACAGATAAAGAGAAAATAGTATAAAAAAGACAGATTAACTCAACATCACAAAACGAACAACCACCCACCATTGCCTGAGTCATGCTCTTCACCATCGCTCTTTGGAAGCCCTTAATCGCGACCTGCTTATCTTCGCCTAGAATAACTGGCATGGACGGAGGAAGGCTGGGGGTTGCTTTGGGAGGAGCAGCTGTAGGTGGAGGCACTGGCTTGTCTAATGATTAAGAGAGGTTTTGGAGGAGGGAAATTAGTCAAAAATTAATTGGGAAGTACACTAGCTCCCAATACTATCTTTAATATGATGTTAAGCTGAAACTGCAAAAGATGATATTTAATCATCTGCCTACCATTTCTTGCTACCTTACATAATACTTGTCAAGCAAAAGTGGCCACTGACTCAGACTGCAAAACATATAATTTTAGTTTTCAAAGTCCAATAATAATTATGTGGCATAAGTGCTGCTAATATTTTTCAATAACTGCATTAAGAATTGTTTACATTACAAAAGGCTTTATTCAAAATTCCACTGCTGTAAAAATATCTAAAACTGTGTTTACATATAATACCAGTTTTACATACAATACAAGTTTGACTTCAAGATCAAATAGCTTGTTAAAGGTATCTAAAATTGACTAACCCACATGCCTTATCACACTAAAGCTATGGTTTTCTAGAAAAGCGGTGCCGCTATATTACGTCCGTAACATTACGTTGTGCGGCGAACGTAACGTAACGGCCGCTCAAGGGTGTAAAGTTAGAACTGTGTTGTGATTGCATTACGTTGAGATCAAGCGGAAAGAGAACACACGCAGTATGGACGATCTAGACACGGCATTATTAATATATCTGGAAGATGAGTCGTCCGAAGACGAACGCTTGGAAGAAAGTCAATTATTCAAATGTCGATCTACAGAGGGTGCATTTTCAATTCTGGTTGTTCGTCGTCTCCATTGCAATGAAGAAAAATTTAGAGAATACTTCCGCTTAACACCAGTTTTGTTTGATTATGTTTTGAATCATATAAGAGATCAATTGACTTCCAGACCCTATAATCGACACAGAAATCCAATATCTTCAGAAGAAAAGCTGTGTCTATTTTTGAGGTAAGTAAATAAAAAATTGTATCAATGCTAAACTTCATTTCAAGCTGAAAGTTAAACTAGAATTTGGTATAAAGTATAGGTACTATAAGCTGAAAGTTCTACTACTGAAAGTTATACTAGTGTTTGGCTTAAAGTTTTATTACTGAAAGTAATACTAGAGTCTTGCTAAAGGTTATACTAGAGTTGGGTATAATAATCACACTCTACATCAGCGACCACCACCGTACCATGTTCGCTTGATGCAGATGGAATTACTGTTTCTGAAGCAATACCTGTTGGTACATTAAACAGTGGAATGTTTCCTTTTGAATTTGTCACGTTTGAAACAGTCTGTTCGGAACAGACTGTTTCAAACGTTTGAAACAGTCTGTTCCGAACAGACTGTTTCAAACGTGACAAATTCAAAAGGAAACATTCCACTGTTTAATGTACCAACAGGTATTGCTTCAGAAACAGTAATTCCATCTGCATCAAGCGAACATGGTACGGTGGTGGTCGCTGATGTAGAGTGTGATTATTATACCCAACTCTAGTATAACCTTTAGCAAGACTCTAGTATTACTTTCAGTAATAAAACTTTAAGCCAAACACTAGTATAACTTTCAGTAGTAGAACTTTCAGCTTATAGTACCTATACTTTATACCAAATTCTAGTTTAACTTTCAGCTTGAAATGAAGTTTAGCATTGATACAATTTTTTATTTACTTACCTCAAAAATAGACACAGCTTTTCTTCTGAAGATATTGGATTTCTGTGTCGATTATAGGGTCTGGAAGTCAATTGATCTCTTATATGATTCAAAACATAATCAAACAAAACTGGTGTTAAGCGGAAGTATTCTCTAAATTTTTCTTCATTGCAATGGAGACGACGAACAACCAGAATTGAAAATGCACCCTCTGTAGATCGACATTTGAATAATTGACTTTCTTCCAAGCGTTCGTCTTCGGACGACTCATCTTCCAGATATATTAATAATGCCATGTCTAGATCGTCCATACTGCGTGTGTTCTCTTTCCGCTTGATCTCAACGTAATGCAATCACAACACAGTTCTAACTTTACACCCTTGAGCGGCTGTTACGTTACGTTCGCCGCACAACGTAATGTTACGGACGTAATATAGCGGCACCGCTTTTCTAGGAAACCATAGCTTTAATACTTTCTCTGTCAATGTTAGTGTTTCTGTGTGAATTTGAAGCATCCCACAGACACCACACATATGGGACACCTCCAAAATGAAGACCTTTTTGTATGGTGAACTTTTGTCTGGATCCTGTGCTACAGAGGATCTGTACTACTGCAATGTCTTTATTGATAAATGAAATAAAAGAGGTTGACTTAATTATATGCTATTATACTAGAATATTTGTATATACAATAGTGTAGTACTAGTCTACTCTATGTAATTTCTTTAAAATAATGTAAATGTACTGAATGCTCGTGAGATTCCTGGGACCTCACCTAGATGGTGCCACATCTGTTTATGTGGGCACAATGTTTGCTACCCTGGTAACAGTGATGCTCTGCCAGCGTGACAGAATCATGACCATTTGCATGTGGAGAGTTCATATGAAAACACAAAAATTGACTGGAAAAGCACTAGTGTGACTGGGCCTTAAGTATGAGACACAAAGAAATAATGAGTCTCAATCAAGGATAACATCAAAATATATAGAAGACATATGAAGAATTAAGAAATCAAGACCCTATCAAGTATGAGCAAAAGCATGATGTTGCTGTACCTTCAGGAGCAAATCAAGAAAACAAATAAATAAAATAAGGACAGGTCAAAAAAAAAAAAAAACATTTAACCCATTCGCCCAGGATTTATGCTCTGTCCCCTGTATTTTTTGGAGAATTTTGTTACATACAGATGGCTCCACATGTACTCAGCCGGCAAGGAGTTCATCAGTAGGGCCTAGTTACCGACCCTGATTCATTGCATTGACGGGAAAATTAATACCATTGCTATTGATACTGTTAGCATTGTTATTAATGCTATGATTATTAAATTGTCATTAGAATATTTTAGACAATGAAATGATACAAAAAAAAAACTTTTCCTAAAGTGAAGGAAAAGGGTAAACAGGTGAAATAGATAGTTCTTGATAACTGGCTATTTGGTGATTAAGAATTTGTGGAGCCATCTATGTGTATATACAATAAATAAACGTGTATCAAAGTGGGTATGGCATCTATTCTTGCCACGTGGGGCAAATGGGTTAAGACCATCACGTTGTCTTTAGAGCTTCACTTCCTAACAGATACTAATGCAGAAACATAAAATAAGGCTTTACCTGGTGTCATTGTCACAACAGGTCGAGCTGGAGCAGATGGAGTGGGGGCTTTCTTGCCACTCTTTCTGGCCTCTAAATATTGTAACAAATCTTCTTTAAGGATCCTTCCCTCCTTGCCTGTTCCTTGAACATCATACAAGTCAATCTGGGAAATGAAACGTACATGTACTTTCTGATTCATGACATTGCATGAAAAAAGATTATTGATATTGCAGAGAACTCTGATAATTGCAATCAGATGTGGATTTAAGTACCTACTATAATCTTAAAGTTTGCAACAGAGTCTTCAGAGTAACATTCCTCCCTCTCCTTCATGCTTCAGTGCAAAATACACAATCACATTTTTTATCCCAATGACGC